AAGCGACAAAGCAGTGTGGTTCACTGCTTCGCTCGCTATTTCTCTAAAGGTCTGCCTGTTTCTTTTCCGCACTTCAATTTTGCACCTCTCACAATTCCGACCTTTCATTTGAACAAGTTGGGAGAACTATTATTGGAAACTGTAGATTTTCTGGGTGGGCTCTGCTGGATGTGTGTTTACCCTGAGTGTTGGGTTCGCTATGGTTCGTTCCTTCGCAGTCCCAGGGGCGGTGCTGCGAGTGAGCTGGTCGCCCGAGGCGACCCTGTTGGCCGTTGGGGCTCAGTGCAGGTCAAAGGGGAAAGGAGATGGCAACCCAACCATTGTTTTTGCTCGCCCTTAAGCGCCTACTAAATCAAGTCTATGGGACATGGACGCAGGATAAGCTCATGCTTCAAGGAAGCATAACCCGCCTGAGGGCGGAGGGGGAGCTTCCTTGAAGAAGCGTTCGCAGTATTCATTTGGTTTCTAGATTCCTAGAGATGCATTTGCTGATTCCGTTTATTGTCATGTTCTGTTCTCAGATTCGAAGCGACGTGCTGAGGCCCTCCACGCTGGACAGGAACCACTTGTCAGGCTTTGGAAGACGCAAAGCTGGGAGGAGCATCTGGCATGTTGGAGGGTACAGTTTGCCGATGGCCCTTTTGCTTTTGGGAACGCAAAGCTGCCCAATGTGCCATCCTTATGGTTGAGAAGCCGTGAATGGCACTCGATGGCACTAGATGGCACTAAGTACACTTGCTGGAAGATGCTGGAAGCTGTGGAAGCTGCCTACTGTTGCCTACTGGTACTTAGTGACATTGAGTGATCCCAGAAGGGCAAAATGCAGTGTCATGCGTCCGCAAGTTCAAGACCCACCAATGGTCATATGGCCAATTTGTGAAAGTGCATAATGAGTCTAAAATCACAAAGCAAAATCACAGAGCTTCTTAGAAGCGTATGACTTATGATGACCCTTTTTTCCTTGAAGTTTTAAGGTGTTTCGACCAGCTTCGAAGTCTCTTAACCGATTGGAGCCGTGCAAAGTCAGGTGGCCGTTCACGTGGGGCTCGGATGGGTTCGTGCAGGGCTGCCAGGCCATGGGTTGCAGAAGCTGATGGACATGGGTCAACTGACCAGGTTCCTGCTTATTTTCCCGTTGACAGCGTACACGTGATTAGATTGGAATATATCATTTGGAGCCATCAAGGGCTGTGCTGCGTGTGGGTTCATCCAAGCACTGCGAAAGCACGAAAGTGCGCAGGGGAGGTTGGAAGAATCCAAAAAGCATCATCTGCACACCGAACCGGATCATCCTTTCATAGTGCCTCTTCTTATTTTCAGACACTCACAATAAAACTGATGATGTGTTGCAGCATGGGGGTAAAACAAGGAAGCACCGAACCGAAATCAGAAATCCCATAGTAGCAAGAAGCTACTAGGGGCTCCTGGCCTCCCTACTAGGAGCAAGAACGCTATTAGGGGCTCATCTTGCAACTCCCTGGATCTCCCTGGTGCGCCAGGCTTCTCATTGGCTTGGTTGAACGGTGACACGCTGCTTGCCACCGGCGGTGGCCACTTAGTGGAGATCGGTGTAGGACAGACATTTGTTGCCCGGACATGTGGAACTTGACAACCTTTGGACCACTCATGGGGTGACCACGATTTCCCCAGAGCAGAATTCCATGTGAAAATAAGGAGGCATTCACAATGGGAAATAATTATGGAAAGAATTGTTCAGTGCTGTGGATATCAATGCAGGATGCAGGAGCATGCATGGCTGAACCCGCCCAATTTCCACATCCACTCCTATTCAAATCGTACAGGAAGTCCTGGTGTGGTGAACGCCGGCAGTGCCCATCTTGGTCAGGCGCAGATTTAGACTAGACAGCCAGTCTGCACATAACAAAAAAGATCGGCTGGCGAGGTGAATGGCATTACTAGACTGTGATGTGTGTAATCAGCAATCAGGTGGAATCTAATGAAAGCTCCCGAAAACGCTACTAGTAGCAAAGGGCATCGCTACTAGGAGCAAGGACGCTACTAGGGGCTCCTGGCCTTACTACTAGTAACAAGAAGCTACTAGGAACAAAGGGGGCTCTCGACAGCCCGTAGTAGCGTCCTTTGCTCCTAGTAGCGATGCCCTTTGTTACTAGTAGCAAGAATGTTCCTAGTAGCAATGCCAGGAGCCCCTAGTAGCAAAGTTTACATGACTCATCGACACTACGCACAGGATTCCGTCCTAGGGCTCTCTGGAACAGAGCCAGAGGTGCGGGCTGTCCCTCTCGCACAGGAGAGGGCGCACGCAGTGCACTGCGTGCACGCACGGACACAAATCGCTTGAACTTTTCGGTTGAGATTTGCCACACATCACCTTACAAACATGGCTGCAGTTGCATATCGATCTGAATGATACCTACGCAGCGCAATCACCCAAACCAGTCAACAGTCAACTGCTGTCGGTTTACATGGGTTTACTATCTACACCAAGGACTTAGTAGCTTCTTGTTACTAGTAGCAATGGCCTCCAACCTACTTGCGATGGCCTCCACCTAATAGCGATGGCCTCCAACCTAGTAGCTTTTTGTTACTAGTAGTAATGCCCTTGTTACTAGTAGCACCAAGGACCCAACCCATCCTCTTCTTTCGTCACCCTCTTACGAGGATTCGCCGGTGCAAGAAGTGGCGGTTTGCCCCCGTACAGCTCAACGAGTGGCTGTGCGGTTGGATGGGTGTCGAGAGGTGCGAAAACCCGCATCGCCATTTGCCTCGACCAATTCGAACATGAGATGGAGCGAGATGGAGCGAGGGTTCTTCAAAGAAGCATCTTTAGGCTGAATGAAGAACAAATGCACCCAGAAGTCGTTTCTGTGTTCAAGGGCAGTGAAGTCTTGAGATTACACGTGCAGACTGCATCACCATCGCAAACGGTGAAGGAGTGCAGTTGCTTGGTACTTCAGGATGTTTATTGCATTATTAAGCGCTCCCTTTGACAGGTGCTGATCTACGAGCGTGCCACCTGTGGTTTGGCGGGTTGGTCGCATCGGGAGTTGGAAGCCTCGGAAAGCCACGTATCAAAAAGGCCAGCATTCTTTGACTGTAGAATCGTAGAATCTACTGTAGAATCGAATGTCACAAATGCAACTGATGGGCAGGAATGAACGTGAGATGCACCAGCGGAATAACCTGGAAAGATGCGGAAGATTTGCCATCACTAAACAAGAGCAATGAACTTGCTAGCGGGAGGTCCTTGTAGAGCCCCTCTGAGGCTCATGCCCTATGGGCGCTTGGCTGCGCCAGGTGCCTTTCCGCAGGCATTGGCCTTTGCAGAGAAGGCAAAGGCCATGGGCAGTCCTGAGAGCGAAGGCACAGCTGGGCGCAGCTTTTGCAGCAGTAAGCCACATTGACTGGTTCAAACCATGCAGTTCCATGTTTCCTCTTGAGACAGAGGCACTGGTTCAAAAAATGACAGAGGCACTGGTTTGAGACGTCTGGATTTGGAGGCTCGTTGCTAGCGGTACATTGGCTTTTCGACTGTGGTCACAGTGAGGCCAGGAAGCTTTTGAGACACTGCTCCTGTTGAAGTCTTGTTCCTCCAACATTTGCCCTTCATCCAAGTATACGGTATATTGCATGAAAATGTATATATAAATATAGCAGAACTTGCATAAACATACAACATTCTAAACCGCCCGTGGATGTGGACTGATGTGGAGATTTCGGACAGATCTAACTTCCACAGAGAGCGGCAAAGAGACGTCTCGTCCGCAGGTGAGAACTTATCCGTTTCATTACCTGCCTGCAAAACTCTTGCAGAACAGTGCAGTCCATACCTAAGTTTGCGCAGCACACGCAACACATCAAGAATGTGTTTGAGGCCTTTCCGTAGGGCCTAGGGTCTCTTTTAAGGCCCAAGCCTGGGATGCATATTCACGTCGCTTCGCGACGGTAACCGCCCGCACCGCATGGAAGGGGCCAATATTTCAGTGACTTCTAGGGCTATGTTAGGCAATATCTTCACTCTATTCCAGTCCCTTTTGAGCCTTCGTTGGGCCATGTTTACGACGTTCAAGTACCTATCTCGGGGAAGCATACTTGAGATAGTGACTTCTGGGGTTATGTTCGACCATATGGGAGCTATGCTCGTGAGTCTGCTCCTGACCACCATTCCTGGACCTTATCTTTCCTTATCTCTGCTCCTGACCAGCCACGTACCCGGACTTCAAGTCCCTATCTCGCAGACACGTCCGTTAGATAGTGACTTCTAGGGCTATGTTACGCAACATGGAAGCTATGTTGAGCCCCGTTAGGGGCACCTGTTCAGCCAAATGTCCGGCCTCAGTCCAATTACACTTTACCGCTCAGATGATGCAGATGATGCAAAGCAGAAAATTGCATTTCTTGCATCACTAAAGGCTTCAAGATAGCAAAATTAGCACGCACTTATCTTCCAGCACTTTAAGCCGGTTCCAAAAACGTGCAAAAGCACAGGATTCTAGAGCGAAAATGGCCCCCCCTAGCTAAAGCTATATTAGTACTTGCGGTACTTGCGGTATAATGCGTGCCTTATAAAAACGCCTCAGCACCTTCGGTGCGGGCGGATTTTTGACGATTTTCTCTAAGGCCACGGGTCTCTTCTAGTGAGGTGCTCAGAGCTCCCCTTGCTTCAGAGAGTAAACACTTGGCTCATGAAATCTCTTGTGCCTCTGAAATCTCTTGTGACTCATGTTACTCAGGCCAAGATCTGAGACAATGCTTGAAAATGGAAGCCCAAGTGGAAAGCTTGCAACGTGTGAAGCCACCATGAACCCCAATTGAAATATTACACTCTGGCCCGGCATTCTCCCTCATTATGTTGTGCTCAAAGCTGGATAAGCTATAGTTGGGATCCACACAGAACAAAGCATGCAGGTTTTGGATGGCAAGACAGAGCATTCTTTCCACTCAAGCTTTGACGCTCAACGGGCACAGGCATGTTTATGGTGTCAGGAAACATAATACCATGATGCCTTCTGCATCTAAGCCTCTAAGCCAGTCGTCCTTCTTTGTGCCTTGTGTCCACCAAAGTGACGCCATGGCAGATGAAGAGAAGGACCGAGAAGGATCAAGCTTACTGTTCAGCAGGTACTACCTGGTAGGTATTACCCTGACATGCTGCGGGCCTTAGGCGGCCTTGAGCTAATAGGTCTTGATTTGTTCAGCTTCGCTTGGACTTGATGTTCAGTTCTGTGGACCCTCAACTGTCGCGCTCCACTTGCTTATTCACATGATTCCACAGTATGGAACACTTGTTGGAGATACGTCGCTGGAACCACCAAAGGCCGAGCACATCCAACGATCCAAAGTTACGAACGAACATCCACAGAAATACGCATAGGGGAGCCCCAAGACTATGTCAAGACAGCGTTGAGAGAAGCCACCCATTGGTCACTGGTCCACCCATTGCTGCACCCACGCCATTGACGATGTATCATCAGCGACTGATGCGTCTAATTGGAACTCCCAAGGACGACCATGAATGATGCAAGTATTACATGATGGGTTGTATTGCCATTGCATGGTGAACAAGCCGCGTTAAATCTGGCCTATTGGCAGCCTATTGGCACCTTCAGTGCAAGAGGATTCTGGAATATTTTCGGCGAGATCTTGCACCAGAAATGAAGTTTGCTTTGTGGGAGATGTTGCGGACAGATGAACATGTTGCGGAAGCGCACCCTCTGGACTGTCAGGATGAGACATTCTTTTTGGAGATCTTTCCAGATTCGTCCAAGCTGGATGCCTTGCCCTGAAACAGTCAGTTGCCTTTGTGAGTGCGCACATTGAAATCGCAAATCATTTACCACGTTGTAAGTTGCTGGCACATACTAAATCGATCTAAATCGTAGTTTCTGCTACTTAAATCAACTTGAGGGCATGTCCGTACATGTCACTACCCTTCCTGCTGAATCAAGGCCTATGCCATGGCTTTTGATGACATCCAGGCATTTTTGTTGTGGTCCATTGTTGCAAAGTCATCCGTGAGCAACCTTTCAAGTTTTCTACATTCAACAGATTCCAAAACGCAGCAAATGCCAGCGGGGAAGAGTCTTTAGTGTCTTTTAAGAAAGCAGATCTTGCAGGTCTTTGAAGAAGCGGGTCACCCGAGAGAACAGAGCTCAGGGCCAGAAACCACTGGCGAGTGCTCCAAAAAAAGGACAAAGTAGAGTCTAACTCTTTTTGCTGTGAATTCAAACGTGCCCCCTGGATGAACCTCTTCGCCAACAAAATCGTGATGTGTTTTTTACACAAAAAACATCTCCCAGAAGCACCCTTTCTGGAAAAAAAATCGCAGGTATCAACCGGAACTTGACAGAATGAGCACTGTGGACAGTGAATGTGTCCCTCAAGCAAGCTCAAAAAGTTTGGGCTCGAGGCAGCACTTTCAGGCCTCTTTCATGTGGCGCAGTGTGCCGAAGCAAAGTGCCCTGTCTGTTGATTGCCTGAACCTCTTGGTTGTTGCATTCTGATCTTAGTTGCTTGCGTAGCAGCTCTTGCGGCTTCTTTGATGAGCCAAAACAGAGAGAGAGAGAGAGAGATAGAGGGAGAGAGACTGTAGATTATTAATATTTTCCGCAATCAAGCTCAACAGGTCTGAGCAACAGCTTTGAG